CCAGGGGCTTTCCATCCCCTTACATGACTGACACAAGTCAGTCTTGTTGTTATTGAGCTTTGGACTTCGGATGCCGTGGCTCCAATTCTTAGCTAGCTCATCCTTGCACTCTCTGTCTCCAGGAGGCTGAGGGAGCAGGGCAGCTCTCCCAGTAGATGAGAGCAGTCGTGTGGCTGCACTGGTTTACATCCACTCTGACGAGCAGCGGGAACACACCGTTCTCTCTTCACCCATTCTCCTCCCCCCCTGCATCACCACCTGTGTCCATGGAGGAGCAGCCCCTTTGCCCAGGGCATGCTCATCCTGAAAGCTTTTCCCTCGCTTGCTCTGATCTGCTAGCACAGAAGGGGAAAAAGGGCCTCAGCCCCGCGTGATTCCTGGGGCATTTGGAAATGACCGATGCGTTCCACAAGCCCGCCGCTGAAATCCAGAGGAGCTACGGTTCTGGGGAGTTCATCCTCTCGCTGAGGCATTACCCACAGGCAGAGACACAACTGCCACTCACAGCACGGTGGGGTTCCCACCTCCCCAGAAAGCGCCCCAGGGAACGCACAGACCGTTGTCCCCATCCCTGGGGCACATCTACCAGCCAGGACAAAAAGGGCAAAACACTCCTGCTGTTACCCCAGTCCCCCGGCGGATCCCCACAACCACCTCTGGGTTGCCAGCGCTGCAATTTTGGCAACAGTGCCTCCATTGGACCAAAACCTGCCCCTGCCCTCGCAGCCCACCCTCAGAGTACGTTTTCCACATCAGTCCTTTCCCCACATTCCCCATTTTGCCTTACCTTGCCATTGCCCTGGGCTTCCCTCCAGGCAGCCGTATCCCCTCTGAGCCTTCGCACGCAGGGGCAGCTCCTGCCCTGGTCCCAGCTGCCCCATCCTCTGCCTCGCTGCCAGACACAACGCCAAAGGCAGGCAAGTTAGACATGGTGATCCTTGTCTCCATCGCAGAGCACCGCTCTGGATACTTCACGGGGAGCAATTCCCTGGCCCAGCTTCTCCTGGGTGTCCATGTCATCTACAGCCCTGCCCTGCCTCATGGCTGGGACCCACGGGGACAACAGAGGCCAACCCCATGCTCTGAAGCCTCAGAGCAAAGTGTCCGAGAGGTTTGTGTCGATGGCTGTAACCTTTGTTAATCTTCAGGGAACTTTTGGGAGGAGGGGAAAGATCTTCGCTTTACAAGGCAGCATCAGAAGTAATTAGTCTTTGTAATTATTAACTTCCAAGGCCTGGCTGGCAGGGATGGAGGGTCCTCAGAGTAGAAAGATAGAACTGCTTCCAGGATCCAACAAAGGCAGGAAGAACGAGAACTGATGGTGCAGACAGGAAGCATTAAGAGGGGATGTGCTGGAGATGCTGAATCCCAGCCATGTGCAAAAATAACTTGTCCCAAGGTGAGAGGCACGTGCTCCCCCCCTCACTCCCAGCCCCAAAGGACGGGCAGAGCTATTGAGGAAGCCTGGACAGACCCTGAGATTTCTCCGTAACCAGATGAACGGGCTGGCCCAGCAGAGCAAAACTCGGCATGTGTCCCTCCCACGCAAGCTGCCTGGAGGCAGGAAAAGCCACTGCCTTCTCCACGCCCTAGCTGTCCCCCAGGCCGTGTTGTAAAGTGTCCAAAACTGTCCAACCCAGCAGCTGGTGAGACACAAATTTGGTTCCTGTCTCTGGCTTAAAGAGAAGCAAACAAACCACCAGACAACCCTAAAGCCTCAGTGCAGTTGGAAGCTCTAACCCAGCACCCTCGGCTCACGCCACGGAAGCACCTTGCTCTCTCCCACATTATTTCCCATTTACGTTTCATGGAAATCACTGACCGCTGGGCACTGAAGCGTCATCAAATCCACTTTGCCTCCTGCCAGCCTGTCAGCAAGGCTGGAGCTGGTGTGAAGGCCCTGCCGTGGTACCTCCCATTTTTAGTCGTCCTTTTTTCCCTCATATCTTCCCCACTTCTGCTGCCTCTGCTCCCTCGCTTGTACCCACTCGCCCCTGCTCCTCTCGCATCCTTCCTGCAGATCCACCTTGCCAAGCTACTGACCTCCCTGACTCTT